TCTGTACTTCCTGGGTAACAGTTTTGAGGTGCGGGAGTTGTTAGTTTAGGACAACGGGGGTCAGTGCTTCCTGGATAACAGTTTGGAGGTGCGAGAGTTGTTGGTTTAGGACAGCGCGGGTCTGTGCTACCTGGGTAGCAGTTAGGGCGCGCAGGAGGGGTCGGTTTGGGACAACGCGGGTCAGTGCTTCCTGGGAAACAGTTTGGAGGTGCTGGTGTTGTTGGTTTTGGACAACGGGGGTCTGTGCTTCCTGGGTAACAGTTAGGACGCGTAGGAGGGGTCGGTTTGGGACAACGCGGGTCAGTGCTTCCTGGGAAACAGTTCGGAGGTGCGGGTGTTGTTGGTTTAGGACAACGGGGGTCTGTGCTTCCTGGGTAACAGTTAGGACGCGCAGTAGGGGTCGGTTTGGGACAACGTGAGTCAGTACTTCCTGGGTAACAGTTTGGAGGTGCCGGAGTTGTTGGTTTAGGGCAACGCGGGTCTGTACTTCCTGGGTAACAGTTTGGAGGTGCGGGAGTTGTTAGTTTAGTACAACGGGGGTCAGTGCTTCCTGGATAACAGTTTGGAGGTGCGAGAGTTGTTGGTTTAGGACAGCGCGGGTCTGTGCTACCTGGGTAGCAGTTAGGGCGCGCAGGAGGGGTCGGTTTGGGACAACGCGGGTCAGTGCTTCCTGGGAAACAGTTCGGAGGTGCGGGTGTTGTTGGTTTAGGACAACGGGGGTCTGTGCTTCCTGGGAAACAGTTTGGAGGTGCGGGTGTAGTTGGTTTAGGACAACGGGGGTCTGTGCTTCCGGGATAACAACTAGGAGGGGCAGAAGTAGTTGGTTTGGGACAACGTGAGTCTGTAGACCCAGCATAGCATTTTAGTTCTGGCGTTGTAGGAGGCAAATAAGTAGGAGGATTTACTGTGGTAGGTCGTGAGGGTTGTGGACAGTTTGGATCGGGAGACCCTGGGTAACACACTGGTTTTGGGGACGTCGTCTGGGGACATCTTGGATCTCTACTTCCTGGGTAACAGTTTGGAGGTGCGGGAGTTGTTGGTTTAGGACAGCGCGGGTCTGTGCTTCCTGGGTAGCAATTAGGGCGCGCAGGAGGGGTCGGTTTGGGACAACGCGGGTCAGTACTTCCTGGGTAACAGTTTGGAGGTGCGGGAGTTGTTGGTTTAGGACAACGGGGGTCAGTACTTCCTGGATAACAGTTTGGAGGTGCTGGTGTTGTTGGTTTTGGACAAAGGGGGTCTGTGCTTCCTGGGTAACAGTTAGGACGCGCAGTAGGGGTCGGTTTGGGACAACGTGAGTCAGTACTTCCTGGGTAACAGTTTGGAGGTGCGGGAGTTGTTGGTTTAGGACAACGGGGGTCTATACTTCCTGGGTAGCATTTTGGAGGAGCAGGTGTAGTTGGCTTGGGGCAACGCGGGTCTGTACTTCCTGGGTAACAGTTTGGAGGTGCTGGTGTTGTTGGTTTAGGACAACGGGGGTCAGTGCTCCCTGGATAACAGTTTGGAGGAGCGGGCGTTGTCGGCTTGGGACAACGCGGGTCTGTGCTTCCTGGGAAGCATTTTGGAGGAGCAGGGGTAGTTGGCTTGGGGCAACGGGAGTCTGTGCTTCCGGGATAACAATTAGGACGTGTGGGAGTTGTTGGTTTGGGACAACGCGGATCTGTGCTTCCTGGATAACAATTCGGAGGAGCGGGAGTTGTTGGTTTGGGACAACGCGGGTCTGTGCTTCCGGGGTAACAGTTTGGAGGTGCGGTTGTTGTTGGTTTTGGACAACGTGAGTCTGTAGACCCGACGTAGCATTTGAGTTCTGGCGTTGTAGGAGGCAAATAAGTAGGTGGATTTAATGTCGTAGGTCGTGACGGTTGAGGACAGTTTGGATCGGGAGACCCTGGGTAACACACTGGCTTTGAGGAAGTCGTCTGGGGACATCTTGGATCTCTACTTCCTGGATAACAATTTGGAGGTGCGGGTGTTGTTGGTTTAGGACAACGGGGGTCTGTGCTTCCGGGGTAACAGTTTGGAGGTGCGGGAGTTGTTGGTTTAGGACAACGGGGGTCTGTATTTCCAGGGTAACAGTTTGGAGGTGCCGGAGTTGTTGGTTTAGGGCAACGCGGGTCTGTACTTCCTGGGTAACAGTTTGGAGGTGCGGGAGTTGTTGGTTTAGGACAACGGGGGTCAGTGCTTCCTGGATAACAGTTTGGAGGTGCGGGAGTTGTTGGTTTAGGACAACGGGGGTCAGTGCTTCCTGGATAACAGTTTGGAGGTGCTGGTGTTGTTGGTTTAGGACAACGGGGGTCAGTACTTCCTGGGTAACAGTTTGGAGGAGCGGGAGTTGTTGGTTTAGGACAACGGGGGTCTGTACTTCCTGGGTAACAGTTTGGAGGTGCGGGTGTTGTTGGTTTAGGACAACGCGGGTCTGTACTTCCTGGGTAACAGTTTGGAGGTGCGGTAGTTGTTGGTTTCGGACAACGGGGGTCTGTGCTTCCTGGGTAACAGTTTGGAGGTGCGGGAGTTGTTGGTTTAGGACAACGCGGGTCTGTGCTTCCTGGGTAACAATTTGGAGGTGCGGGAGTTGTTGGTTTAGGACAACGGCGGTCTGTACTTCCCGGGTAACAGTTTGGAGGTGCGGGAGTTGTTGGTTTAGGACAACGCGAGTCTGTACTTCCTGGGTAACAATTTGGAGGTGCGGGAGTTGTTGGTTTAGGACAACGGGGGTCAGTGCTACCAGGGTAGCATTTTATTTGTGGTCTAACTGTCGGACACTGAGGATCTGTTGATCCCGGATAACATTGCTTTTGAGGTCGTAATGTTGTTGAAATTTCTTTTATGACGCCATCACAACTTGAGTCGCAGTTATTCGTACAGAGCTGGAAAAAGTAAAGATGGATTTCTTAATACTCATACATAGCATAATTTTTTTGTATATAATATAAGCACTATCTGTTTTTTTTTTAATTTGTGATTGAAAGTTTTTAGACACATCCTATGGTATAACATCCGAAGTATTACGCGAATCTAAATTTTATTAGCATATATTTTTTAATATTTTTTTTTATTAAGAGAACAAGCTCATGAGTCTTTAACGTATACATACTTAGATTGATTAGAATTAGTATTGTTACGTCATTAATATTGAATAAAATGTGTTCAAACAAACTACACATTTTAAATATGTATAATATAACCTACATAATAATTGGGAGTTTTCTAAGTCTTTTATATACAAATATCATTAGCAATTTCATATTGAGTAAACCATAAAGATTCCGAATACGGTCTAAAAAAATAAATAACACGCACCTCTACATTACATGTTAAATACACTTGATCCGTTTCCGGGAATCTGAAAGCGCTCACTTTACTGTATGCGATCAATGTGGCTCCACTCTTGCCTGTGTTTCTGGATTTTTGCCATTGATCAATAAGCTTCTTTTTCCTAAAAGATTTTAATAATTCATTTATTTGTTACGAACAATTATGTACACACCTGTATATACTAAACCACGTCAAGGACTGTAGTCAGGGTAATAAGACGTTAAATAATTTAATCAACATCAGCTCATTATCACCACTGAGGAGCTCGAAGCCTACCCTAATAGGGGTGACTAAGCCATAGTCAACCACGCTGGCCCAGTGCGGGTTGGTTGACTTCGCACATATCTTTGAATTTCTTCGCAGATATGTGTAGGTTGCATCACGATGTTTTCCTTCACCGTAAGAACGTAAGATAAATGTGCATATGAATCGACAATCGAAAAACAATTTGGTACATGGCGGGAATTGAAACCGAGACCTTCAGATTACAAGTTAAGTGCATAACCCTTGAGCCACTGACGACAATAATTTATTGAATAATAATATTAATACTTACTTAGGGCATCCCTGTTTGTCAGTCAGCTGTATCTTATTCGTCTTGGGGCTGTCGTAATTATCATTATCGTAAGCCCAGCAATCATGAATTTTTAGGTTAAACTGATTTCTTTGATCTTTCAAGTATACCAAAATAGTAAGGTATTCGCCGATTTTTATTGAACTTTCAAAAGGAGTAGTCTGAAATATGAAAGAAAAATTTTAATTCATACTCCTAGTCTATTTCCGTTACTTGTATTTTAAATGGGACAACTTACATTAGGAAAGACTCCCTTCTGAATGTCCATCCAGCATTCGACGCCACTCCCGAGGCCCTCCACAGCAACAACTTCCAACATATCCACCATGAAGGGCTTTAATTTCAGCACATGACCTTGTTCCTCCCTTGCCCCTTCAGCTGATACTTCGAAAGTTGTTCTTGCACACGATATCTTGAGTAAAGATAAAATGAAGTAGTATACAAATTGATAGTTTACAGTGCATAGTTAACTGCATGAGATGTGAGGTGCATAGCCGGAAGACGTTGAAAATAAATACAATAATTAGCTAGAGACCGAGGAATTGCAAATTCTGATGCATATTTATTTGATCTGACATAATTTCACATAGACATTAAATACCTCATCATCATCATCAGTTCACTATACGTCCCCACCGAGAGGCTCGGAGCCTTAAATACCTCAAAGTGTCAAAAGTAAATATGAAGCTAAACAAAGACTGTACTACCCTTAAAATATAGTTAGACGCTGTTTAGTTAAACACGCGTTTTATGGATGACAACGTGGTTATGTTCACCATAAATATGAATTTCCTTTTCCTTTCTATGCCTGCCCTATGTCAAATTCAGCTTCCATTCTCATTCCTCGTTAGAAAAGGATAACTCGGATTAGGCTTCCGACACGCACACTCATCAGACAAAAAGCGGAATTACTTCCGCTTCACATCTGTCTTCGTTGTGGTCCAGTCGAGTCAGCCCATTAGTGAAAAATATTTTATTGCGGGCTACCACTGTTAGAGTTTATAAGAACTATTTCTTTAGTACCTTTCTAGCAAAGTCGGTAGGTCCTTGAACGAAGTCATCGGCTTGGAAGACAAGCACATTATCGATAGTGCCGCAAGCATTACAGAGAGGACGAGAGCCGCAGCCGTCCAGGGGTACTCTGAACTCATAGCGCGACTCGCTTCCACCCAATGATACGTATCTAAAATACACAGAGTGGTTAAATTTTCGAAAGATGTCAATATCATGTCAATCGCTAAAGAGGCTGCAGGTGTAACTTTTGTGATCTCTTTTTATTCTTTTATCTAACCATTCCTTTTATCTCTATAATTTTAGTTATCAATGCACTGCACTATTAATAAATTATGTACAGGATGTTTAAATATCCGATTTGCATAACATCAGTTTATCATCTACTTTTATAACAAAAACTAAGTATTAACGAAATTTGTTCACTTACTTGCATCTAGGATCATTCAAGTATCCCTTACTGTATATTACACCATCGAATACGTCAGCGAATTCGACAGTTACTTGTATGTAATCATCAGTACATTGCACGTCGATGTCGGGTGACAGAGGTGAATCTGCCGCCCTTGAACCCCGCATGAAGTGTACGGCGGTATCATCGCCGCTCTCGTAGAATGGCGACAAGGAATTGTCACCTGATAATTCCAAGTTCAGTTCCGCAGCGGTCAAAGTCTGGATGCCATCTGAAACAGCTGTAGCAAGCGACAGCTACAGCGAGGAAATGTAATTAATTATTACGTGCTTTCTTTAATTCTCTAATATTATAAATGCTAATGTTTATGGATGGCTGGATGGATGTTTGTTTGAAGGTATCTCCAGAACGGCCGAACGGCTAGCAATGAAATTTGGCGTACATAGTTTGGAAGAACAGATAGGCTTTTTGTTAAGTTTCTTAATTCAACACGATTGGAGTTGCGGGCGACAGCTAGTTTATCAATATATGTTTTACTGGCTACATTTACTATGTCAAAGTATACTAATTTTATAGCTAACTATAGTTTTAAAATTAAATGTAATTAAAAATATTTTAATGTGTGATAAAGTTACATTTAAACAAGATATAAACAAAAAACTCGCTTGAGAAATAACTTACAAAAACTCTCAATGATTAACGAGAAGGTAAACCTTTTCGCGCGATTCTCAAAAGATTACCTGATTACGTTTTATGTATGACTTAATCGTTTTGACATTACGCAATTTGTAAGGAGGTAATTAATGTTGGTGATTAATTTGTTTTATGATGAATAGTTATGGCGTGTTACGCGTAGTGTTCACAATAGTGTTCAAAACACACATGATAAGTAAACAATAGATTACGATTTCTTAACATTTGTTAGCTATGATTCGGTACAGGATCTGTGGGCTTAGTACGAATATTTGCGACACGCGCCTTTTTATCGTCATCTTCTCTTGTCAAAATTACTATGAGTTTTCGGTGTACTTTATCGTCAGAGAGTTTATGCATTTTAATATAAATTGTGTAGATGACGATTATTTTGATTGACTGCCATATTTAGTGCCGGTTAATGGATACTCAAAAAGTTGTTTAAGTAACACTTTTCTGACTAAATTTATACTAAGAGCCTCTCTTTGCTGTCACCATAATGTGAATGCGGTAATAAGTTTTCACTGAAGGTACAAGACATTACTCTTATTACCAATTTTGCTAAGCAAAAAGATTGTCTTAGTTAATTAAATATTTGCAACTTTTATATTTATGTAAAAACTATAATAGCTGTTGCCCGCGACTACTTCCGCGCGGAATTTAAAAAAAACAATAAGTAGCCAATATGTTCTTTCAGACTGTGTTCTATACGTGTGCCATATTTTATCAAAATCCGTGAAGGTGTTCTAGAGATACCTTCAAACAAACATCCATTTAAACTTTAGCATTTATAATTAGTAAGATGAAATTCACAATTTCTACAACTTGTGTAAACCTCTTGTTGTGAACCGCGCCTTTACTGACTTACTTATAAGATTTATTGCCTTATCCGCCTGCTATCTATATATCTGAACATTGTTCGCGCGTACACAATGCGAATATATCCATTCACACGCAATTTTTAGCGTTATTACAAACCGTTGAGTCTTGTGAAAAATTTATGCCAATATTGTTCTACCGGTTGTCTATTGCGCCTGCCAATTTTAATACCTATGCTAAGGTATGGATTACTACTTGTATAGTTGTAATTTCTACTCTTAGTAAATTAGGATTTATTCGATATTAGGTGTTGTCCGCTACTCCGTCCGCGCGGAATAAAAAAGAAACTGAATAAGTAGTCTATGTGTTCTTTCAGACTACATACATATGTTCTACAACTATGCCAAATTTAATCGAGATTCGTGAAACCGTTTCGAAGATACCTTCAAACAAACATCCATCTATCTAAACATTCGTATTTATAATATTAGTAAATACAAAGCACGCGCTTAGCCTCTTTTTATACTGCATACTAAAGTGTAACATTTTGGGTTAAGGATATTTTAATTTACAGTTCTTGTAAAAGATTTTTAACTAGCGTTTGTTGAACATTATCACCAGTTCAATGTTCTACTTAAATTCTCGATTTATGAAATAAAAAATAACGCAAGAGTTTCTAAACTTGTAAGCTTAGATAAAAAGACAAATGATTTGAAGTCATAACACAAATCAGATAATATACACAATTTCTAAGATTTATCTTTTTTAGACGGCGTTATTTGCTTGATTCGAGCGATGGTGTTTCACAATATTGTTATGCCATAGTTTTGTAATAGAGCCTCAATGTAATAATATTTCTTGCTTACATGTCTTAATGTGTGGTCTGACGCTCAATGATATTACTTTTTGTCACTACTAATTAACTTAATTATTATTCAATTAATCTCACGAAATTTATATAATTTATTTTTCAACAGATTGCGTTGGAAATACAATGAAATTCTAATAAAATCATTTTTTTTAGTATAAAATAAAATTATTACAATACATAAAATCTCACGAAAGGGTTTATTAGTTTCTTAAATTATATTCAAAACAACATAAAATAAGTGAGATGTTTAACTTATATACCATATATTTTATCAACTTTCACCTATCTAAAGTTTTTTCTATATTTATATGCTTTGCCTACCATTAATCAACGTAGGAGAAGATGCACAGAATTTCCCTTCTCATGCATCCCCTCATCCGAAACATCGATTTCCACTTCCCATCCTTTACTTATAAGAAAAAGGTGGGAAGGGAAAGATTTCTAAAATTAGGCCTCCGGTACTGGGGTTTTTTTTGTAAAATGTATTCTTAGAGGTTAGTTGTTTTGATACAGATGACATGTGATCGTATTAATTTTGTGATACATACCTGCACGAATGCAATCAATGTCGCTATGTGCATGACAGCCGCTTCATGGGGCCCTGGAAATAAAACAAAACACTACGTTAGTTTTTAATTTAGTTTAATAAATGCGAATGTTTAGATGGATGGATGGATGTTAGAAGATATTTCTAGAATGGTTTAAAGGATGTTGATGAAATTTGGCATATATGTAGATCATAGTATTGAAAAACACATAGGCTACTAATTAAGTTACAGGTAGTAACGTTAACGTTAACAGGTAGTAACGTTTACATTTTAAATCGTAAATTTGTTGTTATAAGAATTCAATCGTACATCGGCTTTACATAACATTTTCAAAGTTACTAAATGATCGTTAAGATTTTCGGTTAACAGGTCAGTTTCAAAATTAATAGAGCTATTATTTTTGACATTTAAGTTAATATTTACGTTGATTGGTATTATAAATCATATAAAATATTATCCTATGATAATAAAGATTTTATAGTTATCGCAAATATTGTGTAGTCATTGTAAGACTGATCGTGTGTTTCTGAAGCCAAAAATTCCCGTTAAAAGCATATTCATATCTTTGTTTTGGCAAGTATGTATGATAGGGATGGCATATTTTATAGAGATTTTGGTATCTGAAATCCATGGTTAGTAATATATTCGATAAAAATAAATTTTGTTTAGATTTTGTTTGGTTTGTAACATTTAAGCTATACCGAAGATAGCTAGCTATACCCAAAAGAAAATGGCCGAGTGATGACTTTTTATTCTGTAGTGTTGTGTCTTTTTTTGGGCGGATCTATGCCGCCCTCTCGTTCCCCTAACATGTTTGGGCTGACCCTGACGACCTTGGGTGCGGGTTTCTCTTTATTTCTTTATTCCTGTACTGTTGTTAGTGATAAAATAAATATTAAAAAAGAGTTGTCAATGTCCTCTCTATAAGTAAAATATTTGAACATCTTTACCCATAGGTGATAAATTGTCTATTTAGATGGAACGCAACTGTATGCGGCATATTAGTGTCAAGTGTCATTCAAATTTTGACACAAGTGAAGTGACCGATTGTGAAATGAAAATTGTCACAAATTGTGACCTTTTTGTGTTTGCGTTGCAGCGAAGTTTAAGTACACTTACTATTTCGAAATTAAGAGTGGTCACATTTCGTTTATCAACAATTAAACTGCATAAAAACATTTTGATGTAATTAAGTTATTATGAATTCTTAAAATTCGTATAAGAATTTAAAATTGAGTTCTTAGTCCTTAACTTTCAAGTATGTTTTTTTATTACAAGATAATGTAGTGAACTTTAATTTGTACACAAAACAAGTTGCATAAAGTAATATACTCAGAATTTTGTTACTTTAATATAAAGTGTAGAAGTAGTATAAGAATATTAATTATATAATAAATATAAATTTATTGCGTGTAATAACAATCACTATTTAAAATAACAGCTTCTGAAATCGATATTAATTATCGTTACCCTTATCGATTATACACAAAAAATCGATTTAATAACAAGCGTGAAAGGTGAAAAATCGAAGATGTTAAACATTGATAAAACGTAATGGCGGGTCACGTATTGTCTAATTGTGAGGTAGTGTTCGTCTTCACTTCGTGAGGTCATCCGTGGACCTTTGCGTTGAAATATTTCCGCGTAATATTTCGACATCGAAGACTCTAAGTTCGAGACGAGTATTTCCAAATACGACAATCTAACATATAACATAATCTAAAATGTCTTACTATTTAACTAGTATTTGCGATTAATACACACCTAAAATTAAATTTATATCAACTGTTTCGTATTTTCATACATTTTTTTTCTGGATAAATTTTATTAAAAGAGTAATTCCTTTCGCCTATCTTCTTCTTTGTGGATAAGTACAATCGTAAACATAATATAATAAATATTTATCCTCGACTTAATATCCAAACATCGACCTATTCTATACTAATCTACACCAATCGGTAAACTAATAGGTAATAAATTATTAAATATAGTAAGGAAGTCTTTTATATTAAGATTGAGTTCATGACAGGTCGAATATAATTTACATAATAGTGGTTTGATTCTCTGTTATGTACAATTGGTAGATGTTTCAAGGTTAGTTGCTTCGAATTTGATATTTCGAATAAAGCTAATGACTATTTTTAACAGACATTTTGTTTGAAATATATTTTATTGGTGATTAAGATGTCTTGTATCGTAACCTTTGACTGTTTATGACTGTACCAAAAATATTTGAATATTTTATTAAATTAATTTATGTTTATTATTAATTTAATTTGTTTAAATTAAAATTTTAGTTTTAATTTAATTGAAATCAATTTGTTACTAAGCATTCTTGTAAACAAAAGAATAAAACGAATTGGTGAAATATCAAATTTTCTTGTCTTTGTAATAAAAAATAACAACATATATTTAGTACAAAATAAATTGTTATTCTTAAAATAAAGCAGAGAAAGATATTTGATGTTATGTTATGTTAGCCATTATTTCTACGATTTTTTATAGTGGCTTTATAGAATTCTTATGTTACTTTTTTCAGTTCGAGATGTTAAGATTAAGATAATTTTTCTTCTATTTGTTTTTTCGGAAATAAACATTAAAGTTAACTTGTTGAATAATTCATTGATTTTCACAGAATTATATAACATAGAAACGTTTATAAGTATGTTAATGATTAATAATGTTGAATCGATTGTTCAATGGAATCGATGTCATCGAATTTCCGAACGTAATGTGGGCCACGGTCACAAAGATCATTCACGAGCTCGCCCGGGATCAGGGTTGATATACATATATTATATTAGATTTAATATTTTAAATCAGGTCTTATGAATGTCTATGATCCTTAAAATAATTTTACAACCATTTACGTTCTTTTTAATCTTAGGGTAAGTTAAGTTTGATATTGCAATGTTGTCTGCAAAGTTTACCTTTGGATTATCCTATTTTTTAATCAAGTCATTATTGTAACCTTTTAATCCTTTGCGACATATCAGGAAAATTCTATATTGTTTCTTAAAGATTTGATTTTCGTATTTTCTGTCTCGTCTTTTCTTATATTTCTATTAAAAAATATTTTTGCATATACAATTGCGTATTTCTATAGGTAACGGTCACTTCGCTATTTCAGCGATGTCAGGTTTCCCACCTCATGATATAAAAAAAAATATATTTATTTATTTATTAAGTTTGTTTATGAGAATTGTGTCCGCTTATTGGGATTGTATGATTTAATGGCGAATCATATTATTTTATTTATATTTCTTTTAAAATATTGCATACTGCTACAGCCCTGTAGACAGGTAGAACTGGTCCTGTACAAGGATCGATTTATCTCTGACAAGTCCAAAAGAGTTACTTCATGCTTCTTGCAAACGTAATCGCGTCTTTTCCAATATCAATTATCGTAGACTCCATGTCTGTTGCATTTAATATGGCACAGTTTTCATTACCTACTTACGTGACTTTAGCAGATATGATTCTGTTTGTGTTGTACGTTTTTTTGTAATTGAATAAACTAAATCGACATTTAACTTGATTATTTTATTAAGTGTTAGTTGTTGTTGCTTTTAAAATCAAATTAAAAAAAAACTTCAACTGTACAACTACAATTGTGTTAATACGATCCCCTATTTTAACATTAACGTACTTAGCGCACGTATTATATTAAAACCCATATAGAATATGTTTTAAATAAAATTAATTTTGAACTTATAAGCGCAACAAAGGTTAAGTTAGGCCAATAGTTTGTCAGTCATGCCTCGTAGACCCTGATGTAACTTCGCGTATAATCGTGAGATTGAATTCGTATTATAAATTAATATTTGTAGAAGATTCCGACAACATTCATCACAATATCTGATGGCAGAGGTCAGGTAACAACGCCGAATTAATAATAATTTTATATCATAATGTTATACAAATTTATAATGTATCTATTTTGCAACGAAGCCGTCAACATAAGTGTTTGAACAATACTTAAATTATGTTGTATGTTGATACTTTGTGTTATTTGAACACACTTAATTACGTCTTATTTAACGTGAGATCAATTTCATAAAACAATTTATACTAATTACTAGCGGTCGCTCGCGACTACATCCGCGCGGAATTAAAAAAAAAATTATTAGTAGCCTATATGTTCTTCCAGACTATGCTCCACATCAATGACAAATTTCATCGTGATCGTGAGAAAGGATAGATTTTTCACAATTATTGTGACCATAAAATGACAATATTACCAGTAATAATATGTGTGTCCTTTTAGTTTATTACAGTAAAATTGCACAAAGCGATGACTCCATCCGTAGCATTTAGGGCCGAAGCAAGAACCTACTCCCATAATTATACCCCGTAGTATGCAGCATGCAATTTGACTCATCACTATCTTGCGCAACTCGCTCTTGGGGTCAACATTATAATTTTGATTATGGCAAGAAATCTTCTTTAACGTCTATTGTTTTTGAGTGCGAATTTGACAAAATTATGTGCATTTGATTAGTTTGGTATGTATCTTATTCCAAACTATGTATTATATTATGGAAATAAGCAGTTTCTTTGTACCAAGATGGCTAAGCAAATTACGAAATGTCATCGAGTTCAGACACAGAGTGCTTCAATTCTTTATACTTCTCTTTAGGCTTCTCTACTAATATAATTATGTTACAGTTTGTTAACTTTGTAAAACTGTAGCATGAGAAAGTACAGAGATCATCAAAACTTGACTACATTGACATGTTTAATTCGTATTTTTATTCTCATTATTCGTATTCGTAAAGACTTTCAACATTCAATGGTCACGATTTTAATAGATCTTGTTAGATATTTATATTCAATTTGCTGTGATTTATAATTTGTATACCAGAGACGGTCTGTTTTGTGTATTTGTTTGCATTATTGTAGATATAGTTGTTAGTATAACAGATTAACTCAACTTATACCGTAAGATACTAGAGAGGACAATATTCTATGACGAGGTTTAGTCGTTTTTTTTTAGTTGTTATGTACACTAAATATTGTTCCGAATATATCATTAACTCTTTTTTGTACAGCT